ATTACAGAGACTGAATACATCTGCACTAGTGACAACGATTTTGGGCCATGTCACCTATTGTCTCCAGCCATTGATTCTTAGAGTCCCGAGAGCCCCACCTCGGAAGTCTGCATCTCCCTACCTGACTCGGTTTAACTGTCAAAGATTTCATGGATTGATGAGGCCATGTTTTTGTTTGGCCACCATTTACTCTTACTCATTTCCAACCTGCACCTATATCAGCTAGTAATGCCCGTCGGAGTGGGGGAGGCGATGGTTAGGCATGCGCAGCCCGTGACCTAGCCATCTCAATCTGTGACTTTATAGCCTCTTCGATTGATTTTCCCTCTTTGCCCAACACTCTACGCCTGACGTCAACATTAGTTACCTTATTATACCACCCAACGTGGGAAAGAGATCGTAGACATCTATGATCAAAAACAGTCAACCTTTTCATGTCTTCAACTCGTATTGGCCATGTTTCAGAGCCATAGAGAAGGACGGAGCGAACTGCTGAGCAGTACACACGTCCCTTGGTTGATAGCCGGATGACACGCCTACGCCTACGCCGTCTCAATAGAATAAGAATAAGAAGTCAAAGTTATATACAATAAAACAGCTAGGCTATAACTGTTCTGCGACCACCGGGTTTTGAACTGACGCCTTTTTTTTAAATTCAACCCATTACATGTAACACTAGTGAAAAGTAATAACAGTTCCTACGATGCATGGATTCTGTAAAATAAACTTCATTATCGTGTTATTCTTCTTCTTCTTTCTGTCCATTTTCACCCACCCCACCCCCTATTAAGTTTTTATTTTCCTCTTGACAATTTATTATTTATCAAGATATATCCATCTTTTTATACATGGTTCCCCAACTGCCACCCCTTGCACCACACTCTGGTGACTTTATCTTCTCGTTATGCTCCTCGTTTATTACATCAACATTTGTATGTGATAGAGTTGAATAATTATTGGCGTATTGGCTTATCTACTCTCTTCTTCTGCTTCTCCTTACTCTTTATGCCTAACTGCTGTTCCTGATGTTTGCATGAGAAGTAGAAGAAGGAGGCGAAAATATCCATCTTTTATCACTTCAACACACACACGCACACAGGGAACCTTTTAGAGGATAGTTAAAAAAAATGAAATTAATTCAACAGGGAGAGATAAACACTGGGTATCATTGTGGTTTATTAGACAGTTCTACTAATACTATTACTACTACTACTACTACTATTATCATTGTTACTATTACTTCTAATAAAATATAAATATATGAACTGAGATAGATAGGATACATCATCCATCATTCCCTTTATCAGGATAATTACTTTTATTGCCTTCAATTGTTTGTTTCTTTTTGCATTGTTGTTATCATCAGGGTGTGTAGAGTGTGTGTTTAATTCACAGAAAAACTAACTAATTAGTTAACTCCTCTGTCTTCAACTTGACAAAGTGTTCAACTTTGTCCATTTTATTTCTTGTTCTGCCTTCGCTTTTTCTTCTTCTTTGTATCTTTGGCCAACTGATATCTTCTCTGTTACACATCTTTAAGAAATATCTGTTCTTTTTCTTCTCAACTTGTTTCATTGAAGCACTTTGTGGATAATAACACTTACTAAGAAGTGTGCAAAAATGGATAGTTGTGTCTTCTGAGTTCTTGCTTACAGTAGTGGTGTTGTGTTGTCGTTTGACAACGGACCGACCCCCTTTGGTAGTGACTACTTAAAGCTGATTGTATATATATGGCCTAATTTTAGGGTTGTGTTCGCATGAAAAACGTTTTGTTGTGTAAACCTCCAATCTTCGCATTGTAAAATCCCTATCCTTTTAGCCAGAGAGAAGAGGTAGCATATTTGGCGTTCGAGAGAAACGATGCCTAAATCAGATAAATTATTGAGCATTTTTGTCCTATTTTGATTTATTCGACAGCGAGCGATTCAGTCAATGATATGCCTTGATACATTACTGAATGTGAAGTATCGATTTGCAGGGATTTGATTGGTTAAAGGTTTGATCACGAAGTGACCCCTTGGGGTGACCCCCTGGAGTTCCAACCCTATGTATACATTTATAGCGAATTGGCAGAAGTTTGAATTCATAGGTTAGCCATTGAATCGGATCCCAATGACTGAATGGTCTACAAGCTCGCCTTGTAACTGGAAGGTTTTGGGTTCGAATCCTGGCAGTGCGTACGTACTCCTGAAAAAGTCCCAAGGTAGACTGACGAAACAGCTGGTTATCCAGTTTTCTACTTGCTGGCTTTCCAATGGTACTCTAACTTATGATGAAATGTATTGTTGAATTACTGGAGGATCTATTTCTCTTTTGCAATATTTTTTTACATGATAAAAACCTTATACTGTGTAGACAAAACCTTTGTTTGCAAAATAACTGTTCGTTACGTGACTTGATTTCGTGCAACACGAAATCTTTGTATTCCTTTTTTTTCTGAAAATAAGAAAATCATAGTTCATTTATGATTTGTATTAAGTATTACTAATACATATGCATATCACTATTTATAGTTATTCACATTATTAGTGACAGCCTTTGAAATGCGGAATTCTTATTCCTCAGATAGATGTAAAGACAACCACTCTTTCATCAAGTAACATGAATGCTTTATGTCTCTGTATTGCAGATCAAGAGAGGTTAGACAACACGGCTGCTATGAATTCCAGCCTATTAGATAAGTGTCAGTGTGTGGTAGTGGTCCCCTTAATAGTTTTAAGACTCCTAGGAATGATTTTACTTCGACATATATGGTTGACCATTGCTGAACAAAATTTTGAAGTGAAAGGAAGCATCTGTTCAGAGCTCATCGATTTTTTCTTTCTTTCTTTATTTCTTTCTGATGTCACTTCCTGTTGAAATTTACATTGGACTTTGGTGATTTTACCACCACTATTTCTAACAGTAATAATAATATATATATGCATATATATGCGTAATGACTATTTTTACGAGTTTGACGACGGATTGATATCAGTTAGAGAACCATTGAAAACCAACTGGGAAGTAGTGGACATCTATTTCACCCTAGTTTGGGAATCATCAGCACCCACTGCGGTTCGAACCCAGGACTTTCCGGTTTCAAGGCAAGCTCGTATACCATTCAGCCACTGGGACCCGATTCAATGGCCAGTTCATGAATTCTAACCTCTACCAATTCGTGATGCATTTAGCACGACCACTAACCAATGTCATCGACGGGAAACCCATCCTCACAGTTGACTGGATGGACCTTACTGGTCACGACTTTTCACTAGAACTCCAGGAAACTCCGTCCTGTAGCCCCAGTCACTGACGATTTATTTTCAATACTTGGTTTGTAAAGATTACATTTGTTTTTGCGAGTTGATCACGGACTAGATATCAGTAATGACTATTACTGACTCAGTAGAACAACGAAAATATAGTTTTATTATTACAATTTACATTCATAGCTTTATTTTCTGAAAAGTGAATTTATACACAATATAGAATTTTCAGCGAATTTCACAGCAGGCTAATTACTCCCTATACAGAATTTTCAAATAATCGATAATACATCGTCTGAAGCAATATCGTGCTGCCCGAAGCATTTTCCTAATACTGCTTACTCCATAATGTTTCCATTCCATTTCTTTCGAAAATTTTCTAGCGATAGGTACAAACTTATTTGAAATTTCGCGCAAGAATAGATTGTGTCTAACTGTGGGGTAATTATTTAGTGATTAAAACAATATGCAAGGAACGGAGTCAATACAACAATGCATTTTGATGGATACAAAATTTTTAGTAGCCCAGGTGAGGAGGATCAATGGGAAACCTGGGAGTACTGGACAGCTATTTCGTCCCGCTATTGGACTCTTCAACAGTATGCGCCCACTGGGGTCACAAGGCAAGCTCGTAGACCATTAAGCCACGCAGACCTGATCCAGTCCTCTCAGGTTCTCCCAATAGTTCTCTGACCGATATCAGTTTATGATGAAATCCTGAAACCAATCAGATCTCTTCAAACTAACACTTGAATCTCATTCTGATGCTCATTAGTGACTGCTCCTACTCAGGTAGGTAGTACCTGCGGTTCTAGTGGAAGGTCGTGACCAATGGGGTTATAGCAGGTCGGGTGTGAGGACAAATACTCGCCACCGATGACACTGGCTTAGCGGTTGCGCTATATCTTGAATTGTTTGAAGTTGGAATTCATGGACTGGCAGTTGGATTGGGTCTCAGTGGCTGAATGGTCTACGAGCTCACCTTGTAACCAGCAGACTCTGGATTCGAACCCTGGTGGTGGGTGCATACTGTTGAATAGTCCCAAACTAGGCTGACGAAAAAGCTGTTTAGTACTCCCAGGTTTTCCAGTGGTCCTCTAACCGATGTCAGTTCATGTTGAAATTCTGAAACCAACCAAATCTCTGCAAATTAACACTTGCATAATGAGAATGTTGATAATAGTAAATGTACAATGTTTTCAGTTTTTAACACTAAAGATAATTATTGTTTTTACTTGCTAAGAAGTTGATCTCACAAGGATTTTCACCACTGCCCTTACTGATTAAAAATCACAACATCTGTTGAATACCGGCGGTCATTGATTGCGGTTTTTCTTATTCACTTTTTCTGTAATATGCTTGACTTACTCGTCTAGTTATATGCTCTATTTATTATAGCGGATCTTTAGACAGAAAAAAAAATGAATTCCCACCGGTGAATTACATCACAAAACTGTTTATAACTGGTAAGTGTGCGCCTTATATAGTCTGTCAGCCCCGGTGTCAACCGACAAAATCACTATATAGATATCTCATCCTCATGACGGTTAGACTTTCAGACATTAAGATAAGTTATAACCAGACAGCTAGCTTCCAAAAGTTACTTTTTGTGTCAATTTAGAGCACATATATGTATATATGTGTATACATGTTTGTACATGTTTTCGTTTCGTTTTACAGAAGTTATGATCACTGAGCATGTTTTCTTTTTCTCTTTCTCTCCCTCTCTCTCTCTTGTCTGTTTTATCATAGATCCCAAAGATATTCGACTTGTTCGGTAGAAATGGTGGAGCATCTTCGTGTAAGTCTTATGTGTTCATCTTGTGTTTATCTTGTCATCATCGTTTTTGGTACGGTTACACTTAAACCAAATAGATGTGTGTGTATAAATTCTAAATTAACACTAATGTGCATTTTAACTGTTTCACACACCCCACCCCCCACCCTCACTTCTATCATCATTCTACACTATTCTTTTCACTTCAACAATATGTATGTGTATACTACATTACTAACCATACACAAGGATGTAAAGAACGACGTTAAGTTGTTAGACAAGCTTGGTGTTCAGAGAGAGAAAGAGAGGACAAAGATCATTTGCAATTTATTAATCCATTAATGAGTTCATTTATTTTAAAAATTTTGTACTAATAATACTACTAATAATAACAGGTAGTCATACATATATAGTAAATACTGATGAAAAGATCAAAGTTTACTCAGAGTGAAATAAGAAAATTACTCAAAAAGTGAGAAAATTAAACAAAAAAATTAGATGTGTAAATCTTAACTAGTTTTCAATATGTATAAGTGAGGAGTAGTTATATAGTGCAATCTCGGGGCAAAAAAAAAAGAAAACGAAATATTAGTAAGGCTGTGATCATCATCATCATCATATGAAATTGATCTCTTCCTCCTGTTGAAAGTCAATTAACTCATTCATTGCCTGTTCTGGTTAGTATTCATTCATTCATTAATATTTCTTTCTGAGTTATTAGACTAAGCGTTAATTGTTTCCCCCGAAACTTGTTCTACCATTCTTCTTCTCTATACCTAAAAGACCAACCAACCTACCTACCTACCTATCTACCAGCGAAAATAAGCAAATTGGCAGAAGATGCAGTTAGCGAAGACAAAACTTCAAGTAAACCTTAGAGAACATAGAGGTGGTGAAGATACTTAAGCACCACCACCACCTCCAACAATAACAACAATCAATAATCACTATCAACGGGAGGAGCTTGAAGGAAATTACTTCCATCACTTTTGTTTTTGCTCAGCATCTTTTCAACTACAAGCAGTCGGTACGGATGAAGATGTCAGAGTGCTAGCCAAGATCGGAAAGTCAATGCAGACCTTCATGACTCTGAAATCACTTCATAAATCTACTACATTCAGCATAAAGAATGAATTCGAACTCTCAATACTAATGTTTTAACGACAGAAGACAAATGCTAGGCAACAGATTGTTTATTGAGAAAATCAAGAGATATTTATAGATTTTTATGTCAGCAGAGAAGTAATGTCTTCTGATTGGTTGTTTTCTTGCTGAAGGCTATTCTGTACTGCTTGTGACCGTTTCTCAGAGAGTTGAGCTATATATCTGCGGACCCTATTTGCGCACTTTAAATCTGTGAGTCCCTGAAGGTTAAGCTTTGCTGTTGTTGTTGTTTTTCCCGTGACTCCGATTGCTGTCTACAATTTTGGCTTGCAACCAGGTCCCACTACAATGTCATGTCAATCAGCTCTGTTATATGGTGCAGAGACTTGAAGCGTCACGAAGAGCATTCCTAACAGGCTTCAAATTTCTTTTTCATGAACAGCTATCTTCTCTGGCTTATCGAAAAGGATTATCAACCAACCAAGAACCTATTCACCGAAGAAAATGTTAGACAAATGTGTTTAACGGAATATTATTTAAAATATTCTCACAGTTCAATATTGCGTTATCAACAGAATACCATATATATGTATTTCAACATTCTATTTCATGTCGTTTAATGTAAACCGAAATCACACACTCAGTGATTGGTTAAGGAATATAAAACTCTATTGATATAAATAGCGATTTGATCAATTGAAACTCTACGTTTTGCTGCCGGGTCTTGCCTTTTTACTGTTACAATTGGTGTAGCTGTCTGCCGACAAATGAAAAGCCTGTGCCCTGCAATTTTTAAAGAAGGAGACATATAGATCTTCTCGCTGGACTCCGTGGCTGTTGGGGAGTTGAATGGCGTTCAACATCCGTCAGCGATGAAGCTGTTACTTGGAACGCTGCTAAGCGATCGGGCAAAGACAGTGTATGATAGTGTGATGCGAAACACCGGCGAATACGCGCCAGAGTCACGCAAACTACTTCCAAAGTGGGAAGAACCATACATGGTCACCATGGAACGGAATCACGTATATACCATCAGAAATGCAAACAAATAGGAGCATGGGAATGTTAATGAGCGCCGAAATTCGAGATACAGCAAGACAAGCAAACAAAGCCGCCAGCACGAAAAGTATTTGACGCGGGGAAGATTGTGGTGGTGGTGTGTTACAGACAATGTACTCCAACGGCGGAATATTATTCTCACATTCTTCCACAGCTCAATACTCCATTAGCAACATTCTATTTCATGTTGTTTAATGTAAACCAAAATCATACGCTGAGTAATTGGTTAAAGAATACAAACTATATAGATATAAACAGCGGTATGGTCACTTGAAAATATACCTTGGCTTCCGTGTCTTGCCTTCTACTTTTACACTACTCCTACTACTTCATATCATGCATTAGGTCGCATAGTTTAACAAGCATATAACGTAATTTTTTTGGTTTTATTTGACCTTATCATATACATATATTCTCCATCTATCTGGTGTGAAAAAAGAAGAATAGATTTTCAGCAGCAGAAGAAGAAGCAACAAGAAACTGATAATAACCACCTTGAAGTAAAAAATTAAAATATACAAAAAAATAAAGAAAGTTGTATTTTATATATATGCTGATCTCTTCTCACCTCATTATCAGTGGTGAAGTTTACTTGGTCTTAAGTAATGCTAGAATAATTATAGATATATATTATCATTTTATATCTTATAACATGGCTTTGTATGCATTTGTCAATAATCTGTACTAGAAAAATAAATCACTAATATTTCTTATTATTATTATTACTATTATCATCATTATTATATATACATAATAATTGTAGTTTAATGAGATGCATCTATGTTTATCCCCTAGTCTTCATCTCATTATGTATTTGTGAGTGTGAGTGTGTGAAGGTCAATGACTGTGCAAATGAGAGACAGTGCCAGAGTAAGAGGAAAATTCGAGAGAGTGAACCTATGCGTTTGTGAATATAAAGTCAAAGATGAATCTTAATAAGAGAAATTATCAATTATTAATTATTACTTTTGTGTGTGTGTGCGTGTCTGTGTGTGTGTGTCCCCCCCACATATCCTGTTTGTTCTGAAAGTTCATGTACGTACATTATTGTTATTATGTCATTCTTAATTATTACTATAACAAGTTCTGGTTACTTTGTTATCAGCATTATTATTATTGTTGTTGTTTCTATTAATGACTTTGTAATTTGTCATTTATTCACTCTTAATTATGTAATTTAGGTTGTTTGTATGTGTGTGTGTATGTATGTATGTGTGTGTGCTTATGTTTCTCCTCTCATTTGTATATATTCTCCCTTCAACAAGTCACTGTCTACAACCATATGACTCTGTGAAAGACTAATAATTCAATGCCAGGTAGGCTTTTGTCTTCTTCGTTGAGTATTGATGTTTACTGACATTAGGATATGAGTAGTCAAATCAAGACAATAACAGCAATTTGTGTAGTCTATTGTGGTGGCGTGTGTTACTGATAAGATTTATCAGTAGTATATATTAACAGACGTTCATTGGCATAAAAACATTAAATAACAGGGAGATAGATTTCATGTCAGAGAAAGTAAATGATTCAGCGTTGCGGCCAAGCATGGAAGACGTGAAAGGAACACAAAGAAACACAATATGAAGGAAGGCCAGAAGTATCACAACAGCACGGAAGATCTGTGCAAATGCTGCCGTGCGTTGAAGATAAGGTATACATAATTTCGCTATATAGAGATACCGAATTACAAACAAACACTCAGTTACAATATGACTGTTGGTTTGACCCGTATAAGGAGGGGATGAAGACTGTCCTCATGAAGTGAATCGAAACCTTTAGGGATTCAATGGCTTGAAAATGTTGGTGATATAACTTAAAATCATCGATTCTTTATAATCTCCCAAAGTCATCTACCGCATAGTAACTAATCTTAACTTCACCTTAAGAGTTCGTCTACCACATGTTGCTGAGACTGACTGTTGGGATCTACATTAAGAAAGCTAACTTATGTGTCTAGAAGAAGTTGGTTCAGACACTTTCTTTACCCCCCCCCCCTGGCTATCTAGGTTCGCATGATCCTCAATTTGTTGTAGTAATTTCCTTAATTTTACCTGATATTCTATTTGCTGTTACATTTATTATGCTTATTATAATTTATGCATCTTTCGTGAACTGTTATTCCATTGTGATCTTACTTAACAAATCGATAGTATTTAAGAAACACCAATATTGTTAATGACGACTATATTCTAGAATATTCTATGTAGATAAACATGTATATATACATAACTGTAGAGCCAGCAGAGGAAATTATGGAAAAGAATATTCTTTGCTCAATTTTTTAAAATTTTCTCCCATATCTATTGAATCTTCATACTCCTCTGTGTTACTATTGTTTCTCCTGTACATTTTCGTCTATTACAGTGGAGTATGACAACTTGAAATGATGATTTTAGTTTTGTGAAAAGTACCAATTTGAAAACTCAGTTGGATCAGTCGTTGATAAGCGTTATCCTTTGGAAGATTAAAGATGCCTTCTGTTAATCATTGATCACAATCCTACAATACTGATGATTAAATTATACTGTTGGCAGGTGTTCATTTCATTTCTTTGAAACAAACATCCTGCTGAAAATCAAACAATGCGCCTACCTAGATGATAGATAATACAGTTATCTCTTGTTTTTTTATGACCATCCTTCAAACTTGATTCATATTATAAGCCTAGATAATGAGATCAAAAGAAAAAAAAGAACTTTGATCACTTCTCTTAATTATGAGTTGTATTAGCCATTCTGACACGGGTTTTTTTCCCAACATGTAGACCTAGAATATAACAGTTCACTTTGTTCTGCATTGCGTCTATTCCACAGTATTAATAGTATAGATATACTTTGTGGTACAAAAATGTCAAGTCAGTC